CTGGATCTGAGTCCTGGTCCAGTCACTTATTAACTAAACAACCTTGGAAACCTCTCTCAGACTCAGCTTCCCCATCTGTAAAAGGAGAGTGATAAGAACAGCACCTCTCATGACATTGTTGCTATAGACACATAGTGCTATAGACACAATGTGCTATAGACACATAGTGCTATAGACACAATGCTATAGACATAGAGCATTGCAATACAGAGTATCTTCCAGGCATTCCTGGGAAAACTCCATTATCCTCCTACTCCCAACACCTACTAGGAAACTCTCAGAGGGGAGAATCAGGGCAGGGCCCTGCTCTCCGGGCCCTTTCCAGCTGAGTGATTGCCCGAGAACTCTGGGGCAGGAGTCAAAGGGAAGTGGCCAGCCTCTGATGGCTCATTGTTCTTGTCCTCTGAGCTGAGATGAAAGTCACACACCCTCTGCCCTCATCCCCTGATGCCCAACCCTACACTCTCAGGAGGCAGATAAAGAAGCCTTTTTCTTCGCTTCTTGTCCAGCTCACAAAGAGCCCTCAGTTTCCACAATGACCTGTGGTACCACTGCCAGATCTCCACACTCTTAAAAAATATATATTATTGGGAGCTCTTACAGATATTATAACAATCCATAATTCAATTAGATCAAGCCTAATTGTACAATTGCTGCCACCATCAGTTTCAATACATTTTCTTTCTTCTTGAACTTTGTGATACCAGCTCCCCTTTATCCCTGCCCTCCCCCCAAGAACTCTTATCATTATATTATATATTATTATTATTTTCCATATCTTACACCATCCAGTGTATCTGTTCAACTAAAATTATGTTATTCGTTCCCCTTGAGATACAGTCATCATTGCTATCGGTTGCCCCTCCCCCCTTCCTCCTCATCTCTTCATGTACCCTCAGGGAATCATTACTCCCATTACTATTTTTGAAGGCTTATTTATCTTGGATTTCATGCGTCAAATGAACATACGCAGGTCTAACAAGATTAACGGACCTCCTCACTCTTTGTCCCCAGTTCACAAAGGAAGCTGAGGACCAGCGAGAGGAAGGAACTTATTTGATATCCCTCCTAGAGAAGTAGCACAGCCAGCACTAGGTTCCCCAGTCCTGCGTCCAGAGCTAGCACTCAGACTCATGAGCACACCAAAACACAACCACATTCTGACAGTCAGATATAGGGCCCCACAGGCAGAGAGCTCCACCTTAAGGGGGAAAGGTGGCAGGGTGGTGGTGGGGGCCCTGGTCTTGACTCTTCCCTCCTCATTGGCTGGGCGATGATGGCAGATTCTTCTCTCCCTAGATGAGTTTCACATCCCAGGTAACTGGACCAGACGCCCTCAGCTCATCTTATCTTTTCCTGAGACGGGATGCCCACTGATCCAACAGGAGCCAAGACAGCCCACCCTCTTCTATGGCTGTAACTTCTGCTGGTCCCACTGGGCATGGGGCAAGAAAAAGGGGGAAGCAGCAAGTCTCCGAGTGCCCTCCCAACTGGTGGTTTTCAGGAAAGCATGAAATAGGGCCAAAAGAGCTTTTCACATGACTGATTCTCCTTTTGGTTAAGAGGGACAGAAAAGGGTGGAGACCTGAGTCTAAGGTGATCTGCCATCCAGGATATCCTGGGCTGCCGGGACACAGAAGGTTTAAGGTTTAAACCTGAAAAACTCCAGGCAAGCAGGGCTAAGTGAGCACCCTGAGTCTTCTATAACTCCCAGACTGGGAAAATGGGACTCATGCAGAAACAAGTAGAAAAGATTACAGACTGGACCAGAAGGGAAGAGGAGAGATATAGTGAAGCACAGTAGGGGCTGGCAGCCTGCCTGGAGGAAAGGGCCCCTGCTTTTCCCATGAAAGTTAACACCCAGGGCCCAAGTGTTCAGGACCTCTCAGGCCCCTCCCCCCTCAGCCTTGGCTTGACCACATCCTTTATACTCAGGGGTTCAATCATGCCTGCCTTTCCAAGGTCCATTTATGTGCATGGGTGTAGCACACAGGGGATTCCACCAGGACTACCCAAAGTCATCCTCAAGAAGCCTCCCAGTGTGTGTAAGGGGAGCATCCATGAAATAGGCCTTTGAGTCATGGGGTCACAAAGACACAGGTTGGGCTCAGGACAAGGTTCCGCAGATGCATGCTTGACCCACCTGGATCTTGGATACCACTTTGCTATGGGATGCTGTCTCCATAAGAAAACTGAGGCTAGGAGAAGTTAGGCTCAAATGAGCAACCACTCAGTAGATGTTTGCTTCTGAGGTTGGTGGTGGGATCCTTCTCCACCCAGACTTGGGAGGAGATGCCTGTCCTGGTTGAAGATTTCACCCACGTTTCCCTGTTTCTCCAGGTCTACTGCTCAACCCAGGTACCAGCTGAGACCCCAGTACTTAGTCTTGCCTCTAGGAAGCCAGCAAAATGGAAAGTGGTTGGGGAAAGGGTGCCCAGGAGGGGGAGGAGGGGAAGAGAATGGGTGGGGCTGGAATTTGAAATGGGGAGACAAGATTGGAATGGGATAAG